CTCCTCCTCCTCCTCCTCTTCTTCTTTTTTCCTATTCTCATTAACATTTTATTGGTAGGATTAAAACAATAAAACAAATATAACAATAAAAATATACATAAAGGTCATAAGAACAGTTATACATTCAAACCAACACACTAATTACAAAAAAGTAAGCTTTAAAGAATGATACATTCTTCAATAAATCTTTGAACAAAGTAACTTATTTTAGCCTCAATTTGTAATTGATGCCTGTAATGTTTGTTGCTTTAGATACAACCAAGTGTCTTCTGCCCTCAAGAATATCTGTAGACATTCAATGATACAGGCCAACTCCTCTTCTTCTTCTATTGCATCATTCTGCATTCTTTGCAACTTTTTTTGATCTTTGGTTTCTGAGCACGCAGCACGCCCCTGCGTCCCACCCGCCAGGCCAGGCCTGGATGTGGAGATGTTGTTTTGTTCTTCCAAAACACCCTGTTTTCTTTCTCTCCAGACAGAGGGTCTTGAGACAGGAACCCCAGGGCAGGGCAGAAGAAGTTAATCTAAGTGGGGTCTGGAAAAACGGGAGGGGCCGTGAATCATGCCAAATGCATGCCTGGCTCATCCAGGCCGTCCCCCAGCAAGGACGTCTGGAGGAGGCCGGGCCAGATCCTTGCCTCCTGCTCATCTGCCGTGGCCATCCCAGCCCCACGCCGGCGGCTCCATTTAAGGCCGTCCTGGGATCAGCGTCTTTGGGTTTTCGGCCCCATTTCTGGGCATTGCGAAGCACTAGAGGCCAACTGCCTGTCCTGGGAGAAGCGAACATCTTTCCTCTTTAGGGAGGCCTCGCTGTGGATGGCTGCAGAACGTCACTATTATGGCAGAATAAATATGATTTTTTTTTTTGCAGCGGGAGAGGGAAAGGGCTGTGCTCCTTCCGAATGGCATTATTTTGTACGGGAAGAGTTAGGGTTGTCAGCTCTGGGTTGGGAAATACCTGGAGAATTGGTGGGCGAATGTGAGAACATCCGAAGAGCCCTGCTGGGTCAGACCAGTGAGGGTCCATCTAGTCCAGCATCCCGTCTCACACAGGGGCCAACCAGTTCCTCTGGAGGGCCAGCAACAGGGCAGAGAGGCCGAGGCCTTCCCCTGATAAGAACCTCAGAAGAGCCCTGCTGGGTCAGACCAGTGAGGGTCCATCTAGTCCAGCATCCCGTCTCACACAGGGGCCAGCCAGTTCCTCTGGAGGGCCAGCAACAGGGCAGA